TTTCTAGTTTTGCAATTTGACATTAAAACATATTTCTTTTGTTTTGAATGATTTATATGCATTTCTTGTTTCCGCAATTAAGGGCCCGTAATTGTGTAAGTTTGGGTGATTTATTCTTGCATTCGAGAGAATTGGAATAGATTCGACATAATATAAATCATCGTAGGGTCCGATAGGGGATAGAAATATACCGCTATGCCCTACGGGAATCTTTAAGTGTTCATAAAACTACATGCATTTTTACATATGCACTTGTCATAGAAATATAGGTCGGTGGTATGTAGAAATAGGTTTGATACATCTCGAGAGAGAGTATTGGATAGACTTAGGAACATTGATTCGTCAACAATTGAATTATGTTGTCATATTGTGAAACTAGAGTTTAAAGTGATAATTGCATGGGAAATCGTGATCCTAGTGTGTTTAATTTCTATTGATTACAACAAACGTGCGTTCTCAACAATTGATTTCATTTTAGAGTTTTAAATTATTGTTTTGCTTATTAATTTCATTACAATCATAAAAGCTGCATAAGTAGGGTTTTCTTTCCAATTTTAGAGTTTTAATTAGGTCCACATTTATTTTGAGTAATTTGGTTTCGGTTAAGGTCGAATAAGTAAAATTGAACTAACCAATATCTGTGGGACGATACTCGGACTCATTGAATCCACTTTATTACTTGTTAACGAACCGTACACTTGCGGTAATTTAAATCGAAAGAAAATATTTCGTGAACAGGCATCGAATAAGATGCCACGTAGTTTAGAAGAAGTGGGCCATGAACCCTATGGGTCGGCCAACTGCGTCAGCACGTAACACTATGTGCCTCGCAAATAAGTTAGGACTCACCATCTCTTTTGACTGCAAGGATTTGAATTGTACATTACAGTTTTTGCAAATTTCAGGATTTATCATGTGAAGCCACACGTTTGATGATTTCAAATGTCTTTGATGACTCACTTCAATGTTTTGAGTTCTTAAAGATATCTTAAACAGCAGAAGTGACACTGCATCCATTTTGTGATATCGGTCTTGGTGATTCTTTCATATTTTTCTCAGGTACAAATTGGGGAATTTTTTCCCTGCTTTGTCTATGATTTGAATTCGGTTAGTATGTACTGATACAAGAACCAGAAGCCTTGGTACCCAATAACCTAAAACCATATACTGAACCACAGAGAATTTCTGTTTTGCCGCATAAGTTCTCTTGTACACTTCAAGTAGCTAATGACATTAATTACCAGTTGTCTTCAACATAATCGGTATAAACCGTGAAGCTAAACTTGTCAGAAGCTTGATTTGTAACACGGGACATTGGAGTTTGAAGGAAATCAGTGGCGAGACTTTGAGCTTTGTGAAACATTTGGACGCAGGAAAAAGACATCCCAGATTCTCACGATGCAATGAAGTGGAAATTTCTTATACTAAAACAAGTTAGATATTTTCGTCTTTGATATTTAAAAAGAGGCATGAGAGCAAAATTGAACATCGAGCTTCTTTAAAATGAGAACTCGGGTTTTTCTATGGCGGCCATTCTGGGTCTGGTTAATGTGCACTTCTTTGGGAGTTGAAATCTAGCTACTAAACATGTCTTTTAGTGAGGAAATCCCCCATAGGTCACTCACTGAACTTTGCAAAAATCTCCTAAGAGGTCACCAAACTTCATTTCGCCCCTAAACGGTCACTAAACTTTGTAAAAAATCCCTGAGAAGTCCCTGAACTTCTTATGCATGGGATCCCAATTTGCAAAAGTTGAGTGACCTCTTGGGAAATTTTAGCAAAGTCCAGTGACCATTTAGGGGCGAAGTGAAGTTCGATGACCTCTTAGGGGATTTTGGCAAAATTCGTTGACTATTTAGGGACGAAGTGAAATTCGGTGACCTCCTAGAAAATTTTGGCAAAGTTCGGTGACCATTTAGGGGATTTCCTCTCTTTTAGTGGCTTTCATCTTTGGTTTAATTTGATTATCTAACTTCAACATATGTGGATAGTGTCCTTCAATCACGACAAATGTTTTCGTGCTACTAATATAAATGTTGATGAATGAAATGAACTTAGATATCCTCTCGTTACTATGTCATTGAATGATTGTGTAGACTTTGTTGTAGAGTAGTTGCAACTTCATAAGAGTAAAAAATAATAATGATAATAAAATAAATTATTATCCAGTTAGTTACTTTTTTATTCCAAGTAAAAAATATATCGCTATTTTCTGAATATTACAATTGTACTTTTATGGAAAAAAGCCAAAGCTCCTTAATCATGACAATGTTATACTGATTAAAATAAATTAATTTTTGTTTAATTTGTACTTCCTGTTTGAGAGTGATTTTTTCCCTCCAAAAAATTGATTTTTTGACCGTTATTTTACTATTTCAGTCATCATATTTGACTTCTTCTCTCATAGGTGGACCCCACTTTTCTCCTAACGGTCAAAAAATCAATTCTCAAAATTACTTCCGAACAAGCTCTTAATACCAGATGGTGCAAATTGCAAGCATTAAAGTTTGTTTTTCTTGGAAAATTGTATAAAAAATAAAACTTGACTATAATATTTTATTATCTTTAAAAAGTGAATGACTTTTTTCAATAGCAAACTCATAGCACATAATTTAATAAAGGAGTAAAAATCCAAATCTTATTTATCCTCTATTTGACTCCATTTTTATAGAATAAATTTTAAAAAGTGATTTTTCTTTTTTCAGAAAATGTATGTTTAAAAAAGGAATTTTTTTGCTTTAGTAGAAGAATATATTTTTGAAGTGAATTTTGAATTTTAAGGTATTCAGAGAGACTTTGATCACACGTACTATAGGCATACAAGTCTACAAAGCCCAAGGCTATCAAGCTTGGCTAATATTTTGACACTGATAATAGTATTTCTTGTTAAAGACATCACAAATGTAGTGACATTTTCTTTAACCACTAGTTGAGCCTATTTTTTAGGGAAAATGTGTTTTAGAATAATAATTTTTTGGAAAATATGTGATTAAAAATAGAAAAAAATATTTAATTTTACATTTATAAAAGAATGTGTGATTGAAATGAATTTAAAAAAAAAAAATTTAAAAAAAAAAATGGAGCCCAAACAAAGCCTTAATATTACTAGGTATGGAAACGTTATTTGAGGTTATCTCACGTTTTGCTGGCAGCCGCAGTGTGGGGGTTCGATTCTTGAAATATGAAATTTGACTCCTTAGATTTCTGACCTACTAGGGTACATCTCGCGATTTACCCCCTCACGAAATTTTAAGAACGAAACGATGGAGATTTTCAAAGTTTTTTTTAGGTATGGAAACTTTATTTGAAAGGCAACATGGTACTTCAGTGATTTAGAAGAATGAATTTCAACCGTTAAATTTCAAGCACTTTAAAACGACAATAGATTCGCTAAATCCACTAACAGTTGATGAATTTAACAAGAACATGCGTGGATTTGCTTGCTCTCCAACACCATCACCATTCTTACGTATAATCTCCTCCTTTTCTTCACCAAATCTCCAATTTCAAACCAATTCTTCAATAATCGTCTGCAGAATCGATCACGGGCTTCGTATAGAGCCCTTTGTTGGTACTCCTCGAACCTTTTTACACAGTTACGGAACGAATTACTTCTACTTTCGAGAGAAGAAGAGGATTAGAAATTACGGAAGCGTCCAGGTGAGAGCGAGTCGGAGAGAATCCCCTTACGAAGTTTTGGGGGTCTCAGCCTCTGCGTCTACTGATGAAATCAAAAGGGCATATCGGAAACTTGCTCTAAAGTACCATCCAGATGTTAACAAGGAGGTAATTGATGTACTAATTTTGACAATTGTTATGCAGATTAATGAAACTTTACATTTTTTGTTTGTCGCTTGAGTTTATTTTTATTGTCTATTTTGATAATTTTGTTTGATTTCACATTATGTAAACGAATATGGATAATATCTTTGGCATATATTAAATTGTACTCATCATGAAATAATGTAAACACAAAAGCAGATTTAGACTATTAAGTAAATAATAGTAATGTATAGTACCAATCTAAGATCTATTTTTTCGACATGTTTAAATGTCTTTGGTGCTAGTCATTTGTTAATAGGTTCGCAGGTTTATATGCTTAGTTGACTCTCTTCGTGTCAAGACTTCTTTCCACTTGTTTTGAACTTTGAATACATTTCAATGTTGGAGAAGAAAATTGCTACAGAGCTACCACAAAATTTTTTATGCACTCTTTTATGAAATTGTTCCTTCAGCTAAAAGGATCAACTAGCCAAACGTAGTAATGTAGTATTAGTATTTCTACTATCAGCACATACAACTATAGTAAAGTCTGAATGTGAATATCCAATCACCTTGTAACATTCAACAAGCTTGTTAAATACAAGACTTTGCTTGTTGGGAATAATCAGAACTTGTAGAATAAATAGGATTAAATCCTAGCGCAAAGAAAGAAATTGTGAACAATAGCTTGTGGTTTATAGCTGTTTTTTAGAAACTTTGCAACACATGATAAGTTTGGTTGTCCTCTTGGTCCATTGTTATATCAACCTATCCATCCTGGTTTGCAGAAGCACAAGCACTTATAGCTGTCCTCCTCTGATGTAGTTAGGATGCATATTAGCTGCAAATGTGGACTATAGAGTGCTTGATCTGCATATGTATTTATTTTAGCCAGTGTGTTGGGAAAAAGCTTGTCTGCCCAAATAATACATTTCTAAATATAGTCTTGACTCTTGCATTTAATTATTATTCTTTCAACTTGCAAAATATGAATTAACAGTATGTTCTAAGATGAGGTTGTGAAAATGCTCTTGTTTTAATTTTAGGAAAAAGATAAAGGGACAGGGCCCTATGTCTAAACCGGGCGCCTAATTGGCACCCCCCCTATTGGAGGGGGAGCCTCTGGGCAATTAGGCACCCTTGACGGACAGGACAGGGCCACGTGGCCTTGTCCGTCCAGCAAAACCCTTACTTTTATATTTTACAACCTTCCACGTTCTTTTGGACCAAAGGATTTAGGTACTTAAATAGCTTACAGTCTTTTGTGGAGTTACCTTTCAATATCAAGAAGAAAAGTACATGTTTGCATAAGCCTGTCCAGTTGATGTGTGAAAAGCAGATAACTTTTTGGCATTGCCATCTGCGTCTTCCAATTCATTGTACTTCCATGTCTACTTTCTTTTCAGGTCCAAGGTCATAGATATCATTTTGTCTCATATAATGTGTATACAAGCAGTTCTCTATTTTGACATCTTGCCTAAAGGTTGATGCGCAGGAAAGATTTATGAGAATTAAGCATGCATACAACACACTTCTGAACTCTAAATCCCGAGGGAAGTATGATACAGGAAATCAAGCGTCTGATTCTTTCTATTCCACGGCTGGAAGAAACCAAAATAGGACTGCTGCAACTGAAGAAGAGTTCTATGGATTTGGTAACTATATTTCCTGTTAAGACCCTCAATTATTTTATACCATAGGTGTATGTTCCTACTCAGTGTTTCCATCAACAACAATAATTTTAGGAAATTAGCCTTGACAACTCCTGATCCAGCTAATATCTTCTCTTGAAGATTTAAGAGAATTAGTGCATGTTTAGCAAAGATTTAATTATAACTTAAGCCAATCAAACACATTTTTTATCCACACATTTTGTGGGATCAGTTGCTTAAATTATAATTTTAAGCAATCCCAAATAAGCATGAATGTGGATAGATTTGAATCAGGCCTTTTCGGTTGGATTCATCCACTTCAATGCTCGCATCTTATCAATGTGTCCATTTTCTAACAATTCTATTTACAGCATAAGTGGCTTGAACTCACCTAAAACTACAACCATAAATTTGTTAAGGTGCATTAGACACTATAAGACAATATTTAGGAAAGGAGGTTCAAATTTAGTTAATTATACTGTTCACTTCTGTCCAATATGAAACGTAGCATAGATGTTCTATTGTTGAACTGTGACCTCATTCTGCACTGAATCTTAACCTTCGGTAAGAAATTAAGGCTTTTCTTTTGGCATATTCTTATGTTTTTGACCACTTAATGCTGCAGGTTACTTTTTGAGGGATGTCCAAATAACAATAGGTAGATTATACTCCTTGGAAGACCACAAGGGCATAAAATTACCTTGCATCAATTTTCAGATCGTTTTGGACCTTTTTGTACCCGTATGATCTTCTAAGTAATACGATATGTTGAGATGCTGAAGTCAAATTTGTGGTTGCAGAGGACTTCTTCAGAGATCTCCAGGAAGAATTTCGCAGCTGGGAGGCAGACGCTGGTTCACGAGAAAAACCAAAGAGCTTGTGGGAAGAACTGGCGGTGGGACATTATTATTCAACAATTTGCTAAATAATATTTACTGGGAACTTCCGTTTTTTTCTCTTTCAATTTTTTGAACATGTTTGGCTAAGCTCAAAAAGTTTATTCTAAGACAATAAGTTTTTGAAACAATTTTTTTATTGATGAAAGTTGGAAATAATTACTTATTTTGATAATAAAGTAAGACTTTCAAAAATAATAACTTTTTAACTTAAAAAGTATGAGAAGTAAATTATCCAAACATGTTTGACTTAAAAAATGTTTTACATTTTTAAAGCTTAGCTAAACACGGTTGCCTTAAAATGTTGTCATAACGTGTGGTGCTTGACAGGAAATTGGAGAAGAGTTTGTTGAGTTCTTGGAGAAAGAGCTGAACGTTACAGATGCAGAGGTATCCAAAGATAACAATGATGAAAAGACGCAAAAGGGGTATTATGGAACGAAGGAAAAAGAAACTGCTGATCAAAACAAGGCAGATAGAAGAAACAACATTGAAGAAAATATTGACGAGATTGAAGCAGCCCTTGCACAACTGAAAAGGGAATTGGGCCTATAAGGGAGAATGAGAATGCACTGGAAAGCTGGATTTTCCTGGTTCAACATGCATTAGGAAATGGTTCGTCTAAAAGCTATTGATGTTTGATTGGCACCTTCTTGTCCGAATATAAGCAGCTAACTTTGAGAAATTGTCTGCTGTGCAGAAGACGGAAAATAGCAGCCGTGTAAGAGGACTATATTTTGAATTAGAAGCTTCACAAATGGAAGCTATAAACCATGAATTTAAAGTCATTGGATTGTACAGTTCTTGCTCCTTTATGCATTGTTGTTAATTTAGCTTCAGAGCCAGTTTCCATTTTATGTGACGAATTCTGATTTTAGAAGACCAAATTCACGTGACAAAAGTTTGTAAATTGTTTGTCTTTGTAAGTGTGTATGTGAGAGGAAGGGAGAGTATCCTCTCATGATTTCTTTTTGTGTAGAAGTAAATGACGAATTATTGTTCATTTATTTTTTAGTGTTAAAAGGCTAAATCAATGAAATAGTTAACCTACATAAGGGCTTTGGTTACTCCTCTCAACACTCTTATTGTTGAATTAGGGCACAACAAACTCAAATAAGCAATTTGATCCACTTTACGTCTTATTACCTTGTGAGGTGATTGTAGTTTCCATTTCATGTGATGAACTTTGATTTTAAAAGAGCAAATTGAAAGTCCAAGAACAACTAACAAAGAGGGGGGGAATTGGTTATTCGATCATTTTTCGAAAATAAGCGCAAACTTAAACAAATAACTATGAATAAACAAGATAACACAAAAGTAATAAGAGGAAGGAAAAAGAGAGTGCAAACGATGTAATAAGGAGGTTTGATCCAATCACGATCTACGTCCCCCGTTTCCAAGCTCCTATCACGAGTAAGGCATTTTTTACTATATTGATTGACTTATGGTGCAATCCAACCTTCTTACAATACTTTCGGTGACTTATAAGCAAGGAGCACCGTTCCTTTACAATGTTGAAATTTTCGAGGCTTCAACTCGACCCACAAGTTTGAAAGATAAAGAGTATACAAGTGAAGACTTCTCTTGCAATAAATGATATAATTGAAGTTGAATACAGCAAGAGAAGATGGCTAACATTTTAGTAGATAGCAATGATTGAAGTTCAAGTGTTAGAAAAGAAAAACAATTTGATAAGAATGATTTTCAAAAGTTTGATCAATCAAATGTTTTTCTAATAAATATATTGAAGAAATAGATGTATAAAGGTGATTGAGTAGATAGATTAGTGATATCTTACTTTAAATGCTTATATCAAGTCTCTTATTGAATGCAAAGTGATCTAGTGTTTATAGCAACAAAAATGGTCAAAAGTTCTGTTATATCGGATGAGGATACCGGACGGTCAAGTAACCGTTTGTTGTTCAGAAGTCAGAACGTTCGATTTCTTGATCGTTGGCCAAACCTATCATACCGGACGTCCGCTAGAATAATCGGACTTGTCCGTTAGACCTACCGGATACGTCCTCTAGAACAACACTTTTTTGGATTTTTTTTTCATTCTTTAAATAATGTAGCAAAATGTAAATTTATGGAGTGAATAGCCCAAATGGTCACTAAACTTTGCACCAGGTCCGCAAAAGGTCACTGAACTTTCAAAATTGTCTAACTTATCATTGAACTTTGCAAAAAGTCCACCAAAGGTCATTGAACTTTCAAAATCGTCTCACTCATCACTGAACTTTGCATTTTGTAATCTCATTAGTCACTCAGCTAACGGTCCATCCAAAAACTAACCGAATACTCATGTGGCTGGCTGATGTGGATGTCAAGTCAAACAAAAGAAGTACACGTGAATTTTTATTTAAATCAAAACATGTTTTATTAAAAAAATAATAATAATAAAAATAAAAATAAATAAAACATGTTTACGGTGGTGACCGTTGCTACAACAGTTTATGGAATTTTCAATTTTTTATTTTTATAAAACATGTTTTAATTCAAATAAAAATCCACCTATACTTCTTTTGTTTGACTTGGCATTCAAATCAGCCAGCCACGTGAGTATTCGGTTAGTTTTTGGATGGACCATTAGCTAAGTGACTAATGAGATTACAAAATGCAAAGTTCAGTGATGAGTGAGGCGATTTTGAAAGTTCAGTGACCTTTGGTGGACTTTTCGCAAAATTCAGTGATGAGTTAGACAATTTTGAAAGTTCAGTGAATTTTTGCGGACCTGGTGCAAAGTTTAGTGACTATTTGGGCTATTCACTCAAATTTATGAAAGATGTTTTCAACATGTTTTACGAACTTTTTGATATTTCTTAAAGTATGTAATAGGTTCATGCTTTTCTTTATGCAAAAACAAAAACAAAAAAAATCATGTTTGTCGTGCGAAGAAACATTGCTTGAGCTTCAAATGACATAAATGCCAAATACTCAAGTGTTTTACCTTAACATTTGAAATCAAGGTGTCTAAATATATTTTCTTCTCATTTCTTCTTGAAGTGATCGTTGTCTTGATATGTAGCTTGGTTTCCACTTTGTCCAAACTTGCGAGAGCTCCGCTTGTCGTAAACTTCTATAATCACTTAAATACAATTGTTAAATAAAATATATTTATTATAATCAAAACGAGAAGTCAACCGTAGGTCAACAATTCCCGCCTTTTAATTATGACAAACATGAGATGATAGAGATAAAAATAACGAAATAATTCCCCCTCTCTTTTATATGTGTATTCCCCCTTACTTAAGCATTCCTATCGTGCATATCGTCTTATCATAATAAATCATGTATTCTCATAATTGACAAATCATGTATGTTATCTCATAATTGATCATTATTGATAAGTCATGTATATCATCTCATAATTGACACATCACGTATATCATCTCATAATTGTTTTCCCCCTTTTGGCATAATAAAAAAATTGACAAACAAGAGAAGTAACATAAGTTCATAATATTATAACCAAAACTCCAAAAGATAAAGTCATAATGAGTTCGGGAGTACACAAAAAAAATGCATAAGGTAAATGATAAAACTAAAAGCTAAGGCTCCGGAGGAGGTGATGGAGGAAAATGTGCGTAAAAGTAAGCATAGAAAGCATTTTGCTGAGCTTGTATTTCAGCCTGCTGTGCAAGAATGGCATCTTGTCGAGCCTGGATCGCGGTCTGTTGTGACTGGACATTTTGAAGAATACCGCTAAGCCCATCAACCGACGATGTGAGAGAGTCGAGATGCCTGGTGAGTAAATTATACTGATTCTCGGTAAAAGTGAATCCTCCGAAGAAGATAAAGAGGTGCTAATGGGCGGCGGATGCGAAAGTAATGGGACGTCTTCTTCGGCTTCTTCTTCGTCCTCAAACGGTAATGTGGAAGGACCTGAGGCGGGGTCAAACCCTTTAGTGTAAGCCACCCATTGTCCTTAAGTTTTAAAGATTTTCATATGCTTAGGGGTTTGAATATTGATTGTATAGGTGGGACGAGGTTTGATGACGGCTTCACCCTCAAGAGAGACGTTGAAGTGTTTGAAATTTTTTGTTAAAACCATACCATAGGGCAAAGCTTTGGAATAACGAGAAGTATGGATAAGTTTCATAAGACCTAAAGCAATTGTGGGAAAATCTAACTTTTGGTCAACGAGAAATGAATCGAGAATGAACAAATCAAAATAATTAACCTCATTGCGATGCCCTTTTCTAGGTAAGATAACATTTGCGATGATATTTTGCAATACTTTGCAAGGTAAAGTGTGTGATGTTTTCAAAGTCTTTTCCAGTCACACGACGACATGCATCACTAGGATTATAACCTTCTAAGGTCGGGTGAGCTTTTTGAACAAAGACTTGCATATCACATGGTTCAAGCCTAAGAATTTCCTGAATGAGAGCTTTAGTAACAATGAACCTTACATTTTTAATTAAACAAGAGATACTATCGGAACGTGGTGTAATAACCATTTTTTGTGTAAAAAGATTTCATGAGTTGAGGATAAGCATTTTCTTCCAACGACCATACAGAAATCCATCCCATATTCTCAAAGAATTCTTGAATGTGAAAAGCAGATGCTTCAGCAAAAAAAGTAGAAAATCAACATTTTTACCTAGTAGAATGGGAGACTTTTCAAGTGGGTTCACCGCCTCTTCGGGTTCAAAATCCGTTTCTTCGTCGGAGGAGGGTGTTGGTGGCCGATGTTCCGTAGTTTTTGTCTTTTTCCAGCTTGCTTTGTTCCCGGCATTGATTGAATTGAGGCAAAATGTTGAAAATCGAGAGTTAGGGCACAAATTGGGGAAATGAGAAATTTCGAAATAAAAACAAAATTTGTGAGGGAGAGATGAAGAAGATGAAGTGGGTTAATAGATTTTATGTGAATTTGGAACAAATTAGAGGAGTGGATGAAGAAATTTGAGTGAAGAGAGAAGGAGAGTTCGAAGGAGACCGGAGAAGGTGGGAAAAATGAGAAGAAAATGATCCTTTCGCGTTTTTAAAATTCCGAAATTTCAGTGTATTGGACGTCCGGTAAGATTTTTCGGATCGTCCGGTAAGGCAGAAAAAAGTTTCTGTTCAACCGGATGATATAACGGACGCGTTCGGTATAGTTGTTCGGTATGTATCGGACGCGTCTGATAGACTCGTCCGAAACCCCTTTTTTTAAATATAGAATAGAGAGATTAAAGACATAAAATAAATAAATAAATAAATGATTTAATGCTTAATTCACTTCATTTTCGTCAAGAATACTTAAACCTCTTCGAATATAAGAAAATCAGTCACGTGCAAGAGGTTTTGTAAAAAATCAGCTAATTGGTCTTCGGTCTTTATAAATTCTAACTCAATATCTCCTTTTTGGGTATGATCACGAAGGAAATGATGTCGAATCTCAATATGCTTAATTCGTGAATGTAAAACGGGATTTTTAGATAAATTTATGGCGCTAGTATTATCACATAAAATAGGTATATGATTGTAAGTCAAAAGATAATCACATAAAGTTTGTTTCATCTAAAGTGTCTGTGCACAAGAACTAGTGGTCGAGGTATATTCTGCCTCGGCAGTGGATAGTGTAATGGAGTTTTGTTTCTTGCTAGACCAAGACACAAGTGCAAAGCCTAGAAACTAACAATTTTCGCTAGTGCTTTTACGATCAACATTATATCCGGTCCAATCGGCATCCGAATAATTAATTAAGTCAATATGAGTGCCTTTTGGATACCAAAATCCTAAAGTTCTCGTACCACTTAGATAATGAAAAATTCTTTTTACTACTTTTAAGTGTGATTCTTTAGGATTAGATTGAAAGCGAGCACATAGGCAAACGCTAAACATAATATCAGGTTTACTAGCAGTTAAATAAAGAAGGGATCCGATCATACCTCGATATTTTGTTACGTCCACGGATGTACCTTGCTCATCTTTATCAAGCTTTAGAGATGTGCTCATTGGTGTGTTCATATGCTTGATAT